ACACACACACACACACACACACACACACATGAAAAAGAGAAAATAAACAAACAACAAATCATACCTATTTATGTGTATGAACTAAGAATATGTGTATGTACATTTATAGATATGAATGCATTTATAAATATAGTTGTATTGTGTGATAGCTATATCTATCTATTTTTCTGAATCAATGTTTCATGTAATTCCTGGAAGGTTGCCAGCAACATGATTACAGGCTCAACTCAGGTTTCGGAACCTGTTGGGTTGAGATGAAATCCTGGGTGTACATGTCAAACATATACCCCTGTGATGTCAATGATGCAGATGAGGACCGTTTGGGTCTCGAGGAGCTGAAGATATAAGGCATACAGAGGTCATGCTTGTGTCATGAGTGTAGTGGGAAATTGTCCCATGGCATAAACATGAGCAAAAAATACCGTCCAGTCAGATATGTGTCAGTCCTCCTAAATGGGTATCTTCAGAAAATTCAGAAAGTCAGATGTAGATAAAAGAGCTCATAAACTATAAAAATTCCCCACAAATGAAAGTCCAAGAAAATGCCAAAAAGAAAACGAAGAAGGAAATTAATGTAAACATAATCTTAAAGAAGCAAAAGCCACAGAACAACACATGTAGTGAAGCCAGGTACCAAGGGGACATGCGTGGTGATAGTGGACACAGATGTGGACACGCTCAGTGAAACCAAACTCAGAAGTGCACATGCGCAGAGAAAACAGTTATGGAAAGTGATATTTTAAGTCACTGTTGACCTAAATGTATTTGCAAATAAAACGTGAAAAAAAGCAGGGGACATTGTAATGAGAAATTAAGTGAAGTAAACATCACATTGACTAGGGATCAGTAGAAAATTAGAAAATGTAATAACAGACTTGAAAAATTAACCAGAAGCCATCTGAGGAAGAAGACAGGAAAGGAGTATATGTGGGGGAAGTGGGGGTTAGGGAGAGCCAGGGCAGAGGGGAGCACAACGTGGTTAGAATCCAGAAAGTATTGAGAAATAATAGAGAGCAGTAATAGGGTAATATTTTAATATTTGGCGAGGAAAGGAGTGCACAGTTTTAAAACTAACAAAAGATACCTATTCCCGAATCCAAAAAATTCAGTAAATACCAAAAAGAAAATAAAAGAAACTGAGTATCTAAACGCATCATATTAAAACCGCAGGACAAAATAGCTGGAGTGACAAAACAAGGGGGAAAAAGCAACAATTAAATGGGAAACTACTTCTCCACAAGCACAAAATAGGTACAATTCGAGGGAAAGTTTTACAACCATCACATTCAACTTTTTATTCAGAAAAATAACATCAAATTAAATACATTTATTGCATAATAAAGTCAGACAGATTTCACCAAAGAGAAGCTACAATTTGTTTCTTAAGGACTGGGGAAGAGTGTCAATTCGTTCAATTATTTTGTGAGAAAAAATATTAGGAGTTGGAATGAACAAAATTGTCATTAACCATACATGTGTGCACATGTATCTATGTGTGTGTATACATAATGTATGTTTAATATATGATATTAATTATAACATAACATTAATGTATTAAATTGCTAAATATTAGAGTTGTTAAATTACATTAATATTAAGATATAATAAAATTATATTATGCATATATTAATATAATATATTACATATTAAACAATTTTTAAGATGTATCGGCTTCTGCGTATATTACCGGATACTAGAAATTCATTAGTGGTTTGAAACTACCAATAATGTTAATTATGGCATACTATTGCCCTGTAGTCATGAGCTATCAGTCAAATTGTTTTGTTTTTATATTAAAAAGTCCAAATGTAAGGGTGTAAGGGTGTAGTCAGAAACTGAGTTTTTTGGTATTCAATATTTTGGTAAAATATTTACTAAAATAATAATGCTTCAATTAAAGCTATAACGACATCAACTTAATTTCCTATGGGGTGCACAAAGATGGTTCAGCATTTAAAAGCACATACTGCTTTTCCAGAGGACCCAAGTTTTGCCCCATGTGAGCATGTCTGGACGCTCACAACTACCTATGTCTCCAGCTCCCGGATACCAATACCTCTGGCCTCTGTGGGTACCTTCACTCACACAGACTTACCCCTATGCAAGCAGACACCAGCATGTACAATTTTTAAAATATTAAAAACAGTTTCCAAAATTTCCAGGGGGAGAGGGTTATGTATGCTATGTCATTTCCAAAGGAAAAGAAAGAGCAGTGATAGATTGCATGGACTTGGGTTTGTTTATGAAACATTTGTAGCTTGTGCTTATTTTTAAAAAGCCTAGTACAATGAAAATTCTGAATTCTGGATTTAAATACAGTTGTTATGATTAAACCACACTGAAAACCCCAGTGAGTTTGTTTCCTTTGACCCTTTCAGAGGATGTGAGCTGAAAACCACCCATCACTGTGAGGCTGGGAAGCCCAACAGGAAACTAAAGGAAGAGAAGTTATATATAAAATGGAAGGAAGGTGGGGAGAGAGAACACTAATCAGGAAACTACTGCACGCTCTAAGCACATAGCAGAAATAAGGGCGTGGTCTATATTGCAATATGCTCCCCATCCAGGGAACAATATTCTGCTACTGGGCATGTAAAACATATTGGCCCCTTCTCTGAATTACGAGGGGAATGAAAAATATGAACAATGCTGTGTATGGTACACACACTATCATCAAATAGATACACCGAAAAATAAGAGCCGTATCTTGATCTATCGGCCTGCCTGTCTGATTCACTTCCTTTCTTCATCCTTTCTCTGGGATTTACTAATTTTATTTGCCTTTGAGGCTGTCATAGGGCTAAAGCATAATCCCCATGTTTGTAGAGTAACTAGTGTTTACATTTCATCGCAATAATACCGTCAGAACGTCCCTGGTACCAAACATAGTTATCACATTATCCTCCCAGATGTTATGACTCAGAGCCAATTCTCAAATCATGTATTTGGAGGGAGTGGGAACTATACCACTGAGTCATATTAGGATTAGGAGATGACATTTCCTGAACAAAGCAATTTTATGAGGAAGTAAAAAAAGAAGCTTTAAGAAGTCACAAGGAGTAGCCAGGAAGAATAAGTTACAGCATGTCTATATTTTATACTGACAATAGACTCCAGCTTGGGAAAACCACCTTCAATGGAAGCTATGCATTGTTTGGCAACCATCTTGTAAGGGGTAGCCTCTCCAGGAAAAACAACTCTAGTTTTGCCCCTAACTCTTTGAAAGCTTGATATTCAGAAATTGCCTAGAAAATGACGCAGTTAAAGTGAGAAGAATTCTTTTGCTGGTCTCCTCCTCAGACACTGCCAAGGCTTGATATCTGAGGTGAGGCTGAGCCACTGGCCTTCACCAGGATTGAAAGAGCTCTGCAAATTGCTCTAACTACCTAAACACATGTTAGTAGTGAAATCAGTGCTTAGCCTAACACGTTTTTGACTGAGATAGTTATAAGGGTGATTGTCATCACTAACGGAATGCCAGATCTCTGCTTAATCACTCCTTATTTTATTTGTTACCATTTGTAGGAAAAGATCATCCTTCAATCCTGGGGGCATCCTCTGCTGTGTCTTTTTCCATTTCTCTCTCTTTAATGATCCTGGGAGAAGGTAGAGCCCCGGCTCACCTTGATCTCAATCTCACCTGCTGACAGAGAAGCTCTGCCCTAAGATCTGGACTATTCTTCTCTGTATGTATTGAGGTCACCAATTCAAAAGAGAAACCCAGCGTGAGAGACCAATCTGGGGCAGGTTGGACAGATGCTCTGCTCTGCTTACATTAGGGATGAAGCCAGTATCCTGATCCCATGTTTCTTACAGCTCTGCCTTCTCAAATGGGTCTAACCTGTAGGAGGGTGAGAGCATTGCCCTTATCTATCAGCTGGTCCTCAACATCTGCCAGGATGCTGCATAGTCATGGAGGTGTGCTCCTTAAACCCTCTTTTCTAGCAAGAACCCAAAGCTCAGTTAGATGCTGGCTGATGGCATCCTGTGGCCGTACCTAGAGATCCTCATTAGGGGTTAGCACTTAGCTGATACTGATGTTTGTGGTGGTTTGGAACAAGGGGACCGCTAGAGCCCAGGCACTCCTGCTTGTGACCAGGCTCCTCGAATGTCAGCGCTTGCTTGCTTGCTCTGAGTCTTCCCAGATTTTCTCAAGCTGTATTGCTCATGGAAACTCTTCCTAGTTAATCCTCTTTCCTCCACCCTCTCGTTTCACCTGATCATGCTATGTCTCCCACTTCTCTCCTTTGTATTCTTTACAACGTTCCCTTTGATAAATATACGTTTCTCCTTCCATGGGGGAGAAGAAGAGTTTCCATCAAGACCTAAAGTGACAGCAATAATATGACCAAGTCTTCATTTCACTAAGTAAGAACTAGAACTCTGGGTAAGCATGTAGAAGACGTATGTATTCTAACGCTCAGAAGCTATACATGGAAAATGTTCCCCATCCACCTTTCAGAGAAAATTTGCATGGCTGTATGCTGTGCTAGGGCTATTAGAAACAGCATCATTCCTTCAGAAAGCTTAGCCCAGCAGGACTTGTTCATTCACTGTAAAATGCCCAGATACACTGGCCCATAGGAAAATAGAAGCAAGATTTCTGCAGCATTTTGTTCAGGTTTGATTCTGGAATTCCTGAAAAACATGTTCATGACAAAAAACAAAGGATCCCAATAAGACAGGAGCTACAGGATTGGTCATCATGTGTAGGTCACATGGTTTGAGAACACCTTGTTTTTAATACAACTCACACAATTTCACCTTACAGAAGTGCAAAATACAACATGCGGAAAATATGACTTTGTAAAACCTGCATTTCTCTTTTCTTTAACATGACAAATCTGACTTCTCGTATTCACAAAAGATACTGAACATGTTAGGAAAGCATAGTACATTATTCTGTGGCATTTTTTAACCCTTAAGGATATCTAAATTTGTAATTATAGACATAATTTACAAACAAAACTAAAGCTTGTCTTCAAGGCGCAAGAACCTACCTTCACTGGAGTCTTTTGAACTTTCTGGTTTCTTTGCTTTGCTCTTCTTATGGGGTGGAGAAAGGCCTTTAGGCTCTGGCCCTTCTGGAAGTACAAAGATTTATTAATTCTTATTTAAATTTACCAGTAAGGTTCAGAATGTATTAAAATTTAATAATGTTTCTCCTTAGTAACTTCCCTCCAAAACACACACACACACACACACACACACACACACACACACACACACACA